AAACGTATTTTTTTTTTTCTTTTTAGATATTTCTTAGCCACTTGTATTTCTCCTCTGAGAACTCTTTGTCCAGATCCACAGGCCATTTTTAACTGGGATATATATATGGATGTCTTTCCATTTTCTGGTGGCTCTCTCAATAGCTTTCTCCAGAGTTTTAATTTTCATTGTAAAGGTGTTTCGCTGCTTTGGTTAGGTTTATTCCTAGATATTTAATTTTCTTTGAGGCTATTGTGGATGAGAGTGTGTCCATCATCTCTTTCTTAGCATGTTTGTTGTTGGTGTTTAGAAAGACTATTGGTTTTTGTAAGTTGATTTTCTACCCTGCCAGTTTCCTGAAATTCTTAATCATTTTTAGACATTTTTTTCCTGGTGGAAAATTTGAAATTTTGTATATATAATATTATACTGTCGGCAAATAGTGATACTTTGACTTCTTTTCCTATTTGTATCCTTTAATTCCCTTTTGTCTTATTTTCTGGCTTGTGCTCTCAGCACTATATTGAAATGAGCAGGAATAGTGGATAGCCCTGTCTCATTCCTTACTTTAATGGGATTGCATTAGTTTTCCTCTATTTGGGATGATGTTGACTGTGGGTGTCACATATTTAGCTTTTGTTAATCTCTCTAGGACTTTTATTATAAAGGTATGTTGGATTTTCAAAGGCTTTTATTTCTTTCTGCATCTATTGAGATGATCATGTGATTCTTGTCTTAAATCCTTTCATCTGATTTATCACATTACTGGCTTACATAAGCTGACCCATCCCCACATCTCCAGGATAAAGCCAACTTGATAGTCATGGATAATCTTGATATATGCCTGCATTCAGTTTGCAAGTATTTTATTGAGGCTTTTGAAATATACTTTTACCATGGATACAAGCCTCTAGTTGTCTTTTCTTGTGTGTTTACTTAGTTTAGGTGTTAGACTAAGAATTAATTTGTAGAAAGAGTTCAGAAGTGCCCCTTCTGTATTTATTTATTTATTTATTAAACAATTCAAGAAAGATTAGCTAGTAGAATTCTTCTGTGAATCCAGCTAGGCCTGGGATTTTTTAAAAATGGAGTTTTACTACTCTTTTGGTTATGGGTCTCCTCATTTGTTATGGGTCTATTTAGGTTGTTGATCTCCTTTTGGTTTAAATTCAATGGTTTGGGTGAATCTAGAAATTTATTTATTTATTTTCGATTTTCCAACTTAATGGAGTACAGTTTGCAAAAGTATTTCCTTATAATATTCTGAATTTATTTTGTATCTGTTTTAATGTTTCCCTGTTCATTACTGATTCTGTGACTCTGTGTCTTCCTTCTCTTTCTTTTAGTAGTTGGGCCAAGGTGTGTCAATCTTACTTATCCTCTCAAAGAACCAGCTCTTAGGTCAATGTAGTATTGCTTCTTTTGTTCTATTTTTATTAATTTCTGTTTTTGATTTTTGTTATTTGTTTCTGCCTACTAAATTTGGGGTTGGTTTGTTCTCTTTTTTTTTTATTCTTAAATTGTATAAATAAGCCATTTATTTTTGCTTTTTCTGATTTTTAAAATGTAGGCACTTAGTGCTATACATTTCCCTCATAGTATTGTTTTTATGTATCCCAGAGTTTTTGGGATATATATTCTTCGGTGTGTGGGTGGAATATTGTGTAGATTTCTGTTAAGTCCATTTGATGCATGTCATTTATTTCTGATGTTTCCGTTTTTGTAAAAAAAAAAAAAAAGACTTGTCTATTGGAGAAAATAGAGTTCTGAAACCCCCTACTATTGGTGGATTGTCATTACTCTGCATCTTTCATCATACAGGTACTCTTTTTGTGAAAATTTCTCCATCAGTGTTTGGGGGTCACCACACCATGAAAAGACCAAACCTGAGAATAATAGGGATAGAAGGATGATGGGAGGTGTCATTCTGTAAATGTGTTTCTTTTATTGGTTAGTGAATAAAACACTCTTGGCCAGTAGGAAAGCAAGAAAGGCAGGACTAGGATACAAGGAGGAGAGAGGAAGTAGTAGGGAAGAGATTCAAGATGGAGGATGGAGAAAGCAGAACACCAGGCCCTCTCTCCAGTAAGATGAGACCATGTGGAAATATTTAGATTAATAGAAATGGGTTTTAATATTTAAGATAGAGCTAACTGATAAAAAACTAGTAATTGGCCTATAGCTTTATATCTAATACAGCATCTCTGTGTGTTATTTGGGGGTGGTACGGTAGTGGGCCCAGACCTCCAGGAAAAAAACTACTCATATAGAAGAAGGATAAGAATACCAGCTCAAAGGCACAGAAAACATATTCACCAAAATCACAGAAGAAAATTTTCCCAACCTGAAGAAGGACATGCCTATGGAGATAAACGAAACAGAACACCAAATAGACTGGACCAAAAGTAAAAATAAAAACGTCCCCTCCCCACATAATAATCAAAACACTAAACATACATAATAAAGAAATAATATTAGGAGCTGCAAAAGAGAAAGGTCAAGTAACATATAAAGGCAGATCCATTAGAATAACACCTTACTTCTCAATGGAAACTGAAAACCAGGAGGTACTGGACAGCTGTTATAAAGACACTATGAGAGACCACAGATGCCAGCCCAGACTACTATTTACCCAGCAAAACTTCCAAATAGCATAGACAGAGAAAACAAGATATTCCATGACAAAATCGGATTTAAACAATACCTAGCCACAAATCCAGGCCAAGAAAAAATGCTGGAAGGAAAATTCCAACCCAAGAAAGTTAGCTACACCCCCCCCAAAAAAACCCCACCGATAACATATAATCCCACACCAGCAAATCCCAAAGAAGGGAAATAAACACACAAACCCACCAAAAATATAACAAGAATTAAAAAGCACTGGCCATTGTTAATACAATTATCAATGGACTCGATTAACCTATTAAAAAGGCACAAGCTAAGAGAATGGATACAAAACTGGGTGGTGATGGCACACACCTTTAATCTCAGCACTCAGGAGGCAGAGGCAGGCAGATCTCTGTGAGTTTGAGACCAGCCTGGCCTACAAGAACTAGTTCCAGGACAGCCTCCAAAACCACAGAGAAACCCTGTCTCAGAAAAGAAAACCTTCTGAGAGAGAGAGAGAGAGAGAGAGAGAGAGAGAGAGAGAGAGAGAGAGAGAGAGAGAGAGAGAATGGATACAAAACCAAGAGCAAACCTTCTGGTGCATTCAAGAAACACCTCAACTTCAAAGACAAGCATTAACTCAGAGTAAAGGGTTGGGAAAAGACTTTCCAATCAAATGGACCTAAGAAATAAGCTGGTGTAGCTATCCTATCCTAATATCTAACAAAATTGACATCAAACTAAAATTAATCAAAAGAGGTAAAGAAGGTCATTTCATATTTCTCACAAGAAAAATCCATCAAGATGAAGTCTCAATACTGAATATTTATATACCAAATACAAGGACACTCACATATGTAACAGAAGCATTACTAAAGCTTAAATCACGCATCAAAGCCCACATACTAATAGTGGGAGACTTTAACACCCCACTCTCACCAGTGGACAGGTCTGCCAGATAGCAAAATAACAAAGAAATAAGGGAACTAACAGATGGGCTTAACAGACATCTATAGAATATTTCACCCAAACACAAAAGAATATACCTTCTCAGCACTTTATGGAACCTTCTCTAAAAGTAACCATATATTTGGTCACAAAGCAAATCTCAACACATACAAAAAAAAATGGAATATAACTCAGCTGTAAAAAAAAAAAAACAATGACATCATGAAATTATCAGGTAAATGGATAGAACTAGAAAAAAATCATCTTGAGTGAGGTAACACAGACCTAGAAAGACAAACACAGTATGTACTCACTCATAAATAGATACTAGATGTAAGGAAAAGGATAGCCAGGCTATAATCTGCAGGCCCAGAGAAGCTAAGTAACAAGGAGGAGCTAAGAAGGACACATGGATTGCCTGAGAAGGGGAAATAGACAAGTTTTCCTGGGTAAACTAGGGGTGGGAGGTTGGTAGAGGGTAGGGAACAGGGGATGAGAACATGAAGGAATGGACTGGTTGAGTTGGGAGAGGAACAGAGTGGGAGAGCAATGAAAGAGATATCTTGATAGAGGGAGCTACTGTGGGGTTAGGGATAAACCTGATGCTAGAGAAATTCCCAGGAATCCCAAAGATGACCCAAGCTAAGGCTCCTAACAATAGTGGAAAGGATGACTGAACTGACCTCCTCTAATCAGACTGCTGACTGCTGCCCTAAGTGTCATCATAGAACATTCATCTAATAGCCAATGGAAGTAGACACAGAAATCTGCAGCCAAGCACCAGGCCTAGCTCCAGAAGTCCAGTCAAAGAGAGGAAGGAGGGATTATATGAACAAGGGGTGGGAGGTGTCAAGATCATGATAGAGAAACACAGAGACAGCTGACCTGAGCTTGAGGGAGCTCAGACTCTAGACAGACAGCATGGGACCTGCATGGGACTGCCTAGGCCCTCTGCGTGGGGCAACAGTTGTGTAGCCTTTTCTGTCTGAGGGCCCCTGGCAGTGGGCCCACAATCTGTCTCTGGGTCATAAGCTGACTATATGGAGCCTTTTCCCTATGGTGGATGCCTTGCTCAACCTAGATGCAAGGGGAAGGTCTTGGTCTTGCCTCAACGTATTGTGCCAGGTTTTGTTGATTCCCCATGACAGACCTTACTCTTTCTGAGAAGTAGATGCCGGTTGATTGGGGGAGAGAGAGTGGGAGGAGAGGAGGGAGGGAGAAGTGTGATTGGTATATAAAATCAATAAAAAATTAAGAAAAAAACTGTTTGGCTTATTCTACATTAATGTTAGTCATTTCTTTTATTTTGTTATTCTTCTCATTTAGGTTTTCCTCATTTTCCAAAGCTCAACAATTTGAACACATGAGATTCAGATATCATTTGTCCATACTTATTATATCACAAGTACCAGGAAGAACAATTGTCCTTTCTTATTTAAAAATATCACAGACTGGTGTCTGTGGGTTCTATCAATGCAGTTTTACTATAACTTGAAAATCTTCCTTGCCTCTTCGATTTTCTTCTCATCAAGAGGAGGCTTTCTCTGGCTGCCAGGCTGTAGGAACTTCTTCACATTGGGCAGACTGCTGAGTCTGCTCTTCAGGGCCTGTAATCCAGAAAACACAGCCTGAGAGTCAGAACTGTTATGTGGACAGTGCAAACATCTGAGCCCCTCCCAGAACATGAGCATCTGCTTCCTTGCAACAACTTCAGTGTAGACAGGAGAAGAATGACAAAACCATGAGCAAGAAACCATAGGTCAGCACAATCTTCCTTAAGGCCTCCTTTGACATCAACACCTTCTCCTAAGGACCCTGGACACACCGTGTAGATCTGGTTCAGGGGGGCAGAGCACAGAGCACTGTGTCTCTCAGGTGTGAAAGGAGAGACTACCAAAGACAACAGAAGACATGAAAAACTGAGTTGGAAATGGGGACAGAAAATATCCAAGTCTAGCCAGGAGCAACTCACAGCCAGTTTTGACATGGGGGATAAGGACGGGGTCCCTGGGTTGGGAGACAGCAGGGTGGGGGCTGTGGAGAAGGAAGCACAGTGCTGTGAAGTCAGAGCTGAGGAAGGGGATGAGCATGACAGGGACCTGCTCAGACACTGAGTGTGCACAGACAGGACATGATGAAGGCCACAAGCAGCCTGCAAGGAGCAGGGATCCAGAGAGAGAGAGCTGTGGGGTCCTGTGTCTTTCTCATTGCAAAAGGCAAAATATTCTTCTTGGGGTACCACCCTCAACTTTCCATAAACAAAAAGATTTATTTTTCACGCCTCCAACCAGGGTCTAGTAGCTCAGTTTGGAGGTCTGAGGGTGGGACCTCAGCAGCCCACAGGCCACCATCTTATTCTCAGAGGCGTGTGTGTGTGTGTGTGTGTGTGTGTGTGTGTGTGTGTGTGTGTGTGTATGTGTGTGTGTGTGTGTCTGCCTCTCTGAAGTGATCTCACCTTCAGCAGGGGGAAAGGGGCCAGAAGGCTGGAGTCAATCTCTTCAACATAGAGGAGAAGTTCCAGCAGGTGAATGTCCACCCTGGTCAGCCTGTTGCCAACAAGGTAGTCTTGTCCATGGCTCTTCAGCACCTGAAAAATTAATGGAGACAGATGATGAACACATAGAGTTGGATTGGGAACTTTCCCCAAGTCTCTCAAGGGGTCACTCTGCCTCTGACTGGCAGGTATACAACTCCAGACATTCCTCTAGGAGCATGATGCAAAAGGGAGAGTGAGGAATTGGGCAAGAGACCTCCTTAAAGCTCAGGTGAACTTTCTCTATCATTGTCACATTGTTATGGCCTTCACACTATCCACCCATATGTACATTTTCCACACATGAGAAGGGCTTGCATGGCCCCTTTCATGTCATGGTTCCTCCCCTTATTTTAAAATGATGGAACACTGGAATTTCAGGGCATTCTTCTCCCTGTCCTGTCTGTTGAGGCTCTCATGGGCAGAGGGCATTAGTCACCAGAAAACATCCTGTATCTGCTTTCTCCCGTGTCTGCTCTCCTCAGTTCTCTGGAATCGGAACGACACTTGGCTAAACTATAATACTTCTTCCCTTTGCGTCATCAGCTCTGGCTCCCACCCTCCACTGTGTCATGATGGACATGCTGAAATTTACAGAGTGAACTGAGATGGAGTCTATAAGTAACTTTGTACTGATAGCACATGAATGTTGGTCTGATAGTGATGTAAAAGGACAGAGATGAACATGCATGTTAAAACCAATAACGTACGGTGCTAACCTTGCTATCTGAGTGATGGCTATGCATTTATTTAGCACTTACTTCAACATTTCTGGTTTTTGAAAATTGAATGATAACACTGTCTTAGTTACAGTCAGATGACACTTAAATATTCCAGCAATATGAAAATCACAGATAACCAAAGGAAAAGCACTTATTACAGCATGAGCTACAAGTAAAGAACAATTAAAAGACTTTGTGGTCACCTTTTCATACTGGACATGTCTACAGAGAGAAAATATCATTGTCACATTAAAAAACAAAAGAAAGCTAGGTATGGTGGCACACACATTTAATCCAGCACTCAAGAGCCTGAGGCAGGTGGATCTCTGTGAGCTTGAGGCCAGTCCCCACAGAGAGTTTCAGGCCTGTCTTTAAAAAAGGGAAGGAAGAAAGGAAGGAAGGAAGGAAGGAAGGAAGGAAGGAAGGAAGGAAGGAAGGAAGGGGAAAAAATCCAAGACTACAAAAGGAAGCATCAAATGTTCTCAGTACATAGTTCATTGTGTGCATGAAGTTCATAAATTTCACACCAGAGCTGATTCAAGCTGTGAACACTGGACATCGTGTCCTATGAGAAGGAGCCTTGACTCTAGAGGGCTGTGTGAGGACCTGATGGCTGCCAACTCCCTCACTGCTTCCTTAGAGCAGAGGCAGCGGTGGGTGAACTTCTCCTGGGTGAATGAAGACTAAGGTGGTGCTTTGTACATGGGGTCAAAGTCAGGGCTCTCGGGAATGTGTAGGATGCCGGTTTCCTCTAGGATCATAGCTTTGTTCTTACCTTTACTTGACAGAAGTTAGTTCTGAAGTGTTCTTGATCTACCTCCAAACAGAAGCCCTGACTAGGAGAGGCCCTATATCTACACTGACACGCCTTCGTTTGCTGGGTGTGCGGGGCTCTCCTCTCAGCCAGGCATCTGTGACGCCATTTCCTGCATGTCACTTTCCTTAACATCTCTTCATCCACCTCCTCCCTCCCCTCTCCATCCATCACTGTCCTTGTTCAGGAACTTCTCCTCCACCTTTGAAGTGCTATCATATTCTCGTGACAGCCAGTCGCTCACTGGCCTCCCTGTGTAATGTCACAGAGTGTCTCCCCACCTGTCACTTTCTTCAGTTTGCTCTGGAATTGAAGCCCATTGTGCTCTGCAGGGTCTAGGTCCATCTCTGGGGTGGCTCAGCCTTCCACAGATCAAGTTCTAGCTGTGGCCATGAACCCTGTTGAGTATGCCCCCCCTGACTGGCATGACCATGCAGTGTTCCAACACAGGCCATTTTGATACAGTGTCCTGTGGGGCAGGGAACTGCACAGGGAGGCTCATGGAAGGTCAGTGCTGCAGTGACTTTCTCCAAGCCTCTGCCTTTCTCTTGTCCTTGGAACTCAGTGTGCCCAGGCTTCAGAGAGTACTTACTTTTTCAAAGACAGGCAAGTACCGGTTTTTGGTCCTGTCTTTTATCAAGGAAATCTTAGCTTCTTTTTGATCTGGGGGTGTTACAACCAAATGCCCAATCATTTCACTCAGATCTGCAATACCCTCTGCATACATGTCAATCCTGAAAGACAAAGTTATTAGAATGGTCAGGAGTTTTCAGGGATTCACTATTTTACATTTTAGTAAAAACCTGAGAACCTTACACTGAAAGGCAGTTGCAAAGTTACTTGCATCTAGTGGGCCATTACCTTTTATATTTAACAGATGTATTAACTTTCCTTCTAGGACATCCTGTCAGTTCACATATACTTTTAGAACTGGGTGGAAATTCAGGGACTTGCTCTGCACTGTTCCATTCCTGGGATGTGGGAAGCAGCTCCTTCCTTCCCTAGGACTCCTCCCCTAGTCTCAAATCCTGTGTCCTTTGTCCTACGATGTTGGCTGAGGACCAGGCACTGAATGAAGCCTTGAGCACCAGGTGTCATGATTCCACCATGCTCAGGGCCTTTGGCCCATCATGTTTGCACTTCTGTCCCTGAGCTGTGCTGGCAGCATCATGCTCTGATGTAGTCACATCACCCGAACCCATCCCCTTTGCTCTCCCCTCTCCTCCATGGACTCTTCCATCCCTGACCTAAGTGTTTATACCATAACCAGCCACTCCTAGACACAAACCCTGCCACTCTTGCTCATTGGTGGAGGGACCCAAGTCTTTCCTTTGTTTCCCCTTGGAGTAATAACAGGAAATGTAGCATACAGGGCTCTCTCCTTCACGTCCTTTCCATTGAGGTCATATTTGGTGGCAATGTAGTTGAGAATGGCTCTGGTCTGTACCAACGTCATGCCGTCGATCTCCACCATGGGCACTTGTTCAAACATCAACTTCCCATCTTTGCAAGAAGAAAGGAGAAAGGTCTGTGAGATGTCCCAGTCTCACTTCCCAGGACCAGAAAAGTTGTATTGAAACTTCTGATCATGCAAAGGGAAGATAATGGTTGGTTGCCGGTCTCTCAAGTAAAATCCTAATTACTTTTTGCTTCTGTTCCTTCTTTGTGTCACCCCACCTCTTTTGGCTTTTGAGCCTCCTTGATTCCTCTTTATTCTATCCAGTTACATGTTATATCTCTCATGCATGTTTGTATGTTCAATTTATGTCCCTGGATACATTTGGAAGGGGAGGGGCGACAGCAGAGAGCCACCATGAAAACAGATAAGTAGAGAGTTTGAAGGTCTAATCGTGTTGGTGATGTTAAGGGGTTGTGTGATAGGTTCCTATGTGGTGAGCCTGTATTGGTGGCAGATAGTAGGTATAATAAAAATTCTCAAGAGAAATCAACCCGCTGTTCTCCACCCAAGATTTAATCAACGGTCATGTGTTTGTGTGGTTGTAGGGGCGGTGTATGTGAAACCCTGATTGAATGAGTGAGAGTACCTGACTGAGATAGCTCACTCTGGTACAGAAATAACAGAACATGTTAACTAGCCACTTGGCACATTTTTGGAGAAAACCAACTTTCCCACCCTTATCAGTGTTTCCATTTTCAGAGCACCGAAGGAGCCCCACCCTCTACATTTTATCACTCTGCATTCCTGACTATTCCCACCCACCCACCCACTGCCGCCCTCCAACACCACCTTCTGGTAAACCTTCTACTGGGCTCCTCAATGAGGACATACAGATACTGAGTGTTACCTTTTTTTACTTTTCCAAATCTTCTGGGCGTTCTATAAACTTCTCTTCAAACTGAAAGCAGAAAATGTAAATGCATTCTTGTTAGCTCATTCTGTACCACTGTAGACTTTTAAACTTGAGTTGTCCCTGTCTGGCAATACATACGAAGAGGTTAAAACCTGCAGTAGATACAAAGGAGTCTGATCATGGCCACTTGTGAATTCAGATTAGATCCATCAACAAAAGTGTTGATCCCAACAAAGCTGCCCATTCTTGCAGTGTTCCTCGTCGCTGACCTCACTGTGTCCATGCTTAAGTCCTAAGAAGGGAGTGATGTGACTGGAGGACCAGCACTGGGAAATTGCCTGTTGAGCTTTTGGGCTCTCAGGGAAGCCTGTTAACTCCAGTGAGAACAGAATAGAACTTTCTGTGTCTCCATCATGGCACAGGGCATAGGCTGGTGATCAACTAGGTTTCTTTTCTTCAAGATTTAGTTTTACTAATTTTCAGGGTGTGTGTGTGTGTGTGTGTGTGTGTGTGTGTGGTCTTGTACATGTGAATACATCCATATTGGAGGTCAAAGGCCAGTGGTTAGAGATTCCATCAGAGATGGAATGTTGGGCATTTATTAACTGTAATAATTGGGTACTGGGAAACATGGTAAGTTGTCTGCATGTACAAACAGCACTCTGAACAGCAAAAGTCATTACTCTAGTCCCACATCAAAGTTGCTTATGCTGAAGAACTATTAGGGTAGTTTTAAATATTTCTTTGGTTTATATATGAGTATTACATATTTTTGTGTGATAGTGCACATACCCAATGACAATCCACTCTGGCCTTTTTTACATGGGGTCCTGGGATCTAAATCCACGTGGCTTAATCTTTAGTCACCTAACCATCTTGACAGCCCTCTAGAATAATAACCCACTCTTTTCCTTTCATAGTTTAAAGAAACTTTTAAATTATGAACAGTTGAAAATCAGCTTCAACCTTGCTTTGTGAGGCAGTTTGCAGATAGTTCCATAGCCCCACTGACTGGACTGGTAGGCAATGAAATGATAAGTCTTGACAACTTGCACAGAATTCAGAGAGGTGCAGGAATTGGTGTCAGTCATCACAGAGGGTGAGTGAACTGTGATGGAGTTGGTGGTTGTGAGGGTGATGATGTCAATGGCCAACCTGTGGGCACGTTGAGTCTGGAAGGTTTGAGCCAGGGTCTCTAATAACCCTTGCACATTGCCTTCTCAGTCACTCTGGGATACTAAAGATGGAGGTTTCTATGTAGACGCACCTCCCCCACCCCCACCCCTGTGCTGAATCAGCAGTCCTGTGACTTAAAACATATCTCTGAGACACAAAGCTGGCAACTAGATACTTGCACCCAATTATCCGTTTATATAAACCAATTCTCCTTGGCTTGCAGTAGGGTGTCTCTGTTCCTATGTTCTCCTTCATTCAGGAAGGATCTAGCTGAAGACCTATTGGTTTAGGAATGGAGGTGTGATTCCATGGCTGAGGTAAATACTTTTGCTGTGACACTGAGGGAGGATACTATCACACCAATGATGTGTGACAAGTTCCACAGGCTGAGGTGATAACTTCAAAAGAAGGAGGTCTCCTGGAAACAGTTGTGAAAACTCTCAGCTGGAGAAAAATATTGGGCTATGATTCTTGTGGAAATTTCTGTTTGTTCTTCTATTTCTTTTTTTTTTTTTTCACATTAATGAAATGTTCCTGAAAGCCTACACTGACATTTCAAGTGAGAGATATAGATAAGAAACCACCCCCTGAGGTTGGGTCACTAGCCATGACCTCATCTCAGGAGAAACCAGAGCTTTCCACGTCATTAATATAAATACAAATAGTAAAACCTTTCCAAACAATAAAACTTCATATGTTTGCACATGTGTCATCGAGAGTGGACTTAAGTATCTGGTAACAAAAGCTTTTAATAAGAGTTAAAATAATTAAAATATCTCAATATTTCAAAAAAGTCACAAGAACTAGGTAATATATGTTAAACAATAACTGACCATAAAAATCTATTAATTTGATTTAAGAGATATGCGGTTAGCTTTGGATGATTTTATGTTAATCAAGGACCGTTCTGTGTTGATTTACTAAGGACAATTCTGTGTTTTGATTAATTCTGGATGATTTCATGCTTTGGATTTCGGCATCACTGTGCCAAGTAACAATAATGTCATATGTTTGTGTGTGTTTAACAAAAACGTCCCCTGAGAAAAGAATATGTATATAAAATCTTGCTTGAGAACTGCAAAATACACTCAGATTCAAACTGCCTATTTGTCACCACCGAATCCTTACCTGTCTAGTCTTGGAGAACCCTCATCCCAGGGACCATACCCGACTGGGGTAGCCCATTGCAAGATAACAAAGTGGCCTTCACAGGACACCACTTCATCCTTTAAGCCTCCCATTCTGCTCCTGTCTGAGGAGGGCAAGATCTCAGAAAGGGTCCATGACTTCCTCTCAGGAAATCCCAACCTCTGAACTGCCCTGGTGTGAACAGGGAAGTGTTTTCCCCAGGGATTCCTCTAGAGGGCAGCACTAAAGCCCTCCTGATCATCCTTGGGCCTGCCATGTTACAGTCTACAAACTGATTACTGAGTCTTGCTGTGCTGTGACAGATTTGTTACTATCTTCTATGTCAGGCCTCTCATTTGTAGTGTATATTTGAAAGTTAACTCTATTAGCTTTTCTGGTATAGTTTCCCCTTGATGGTTTTTATATTGTAGGAGTGTAGCAGGCGGCAGGGCAGGTGCCCATGGAGACTACAGGCATGGGAACCCTAGCCGTAGGGGATTTTCACCACTGAGCCATCACTTGAGTCTCCTGTCCCCTTTAAACCATTTTTATCCTGGAACTTTCTGGTTCTGTGCTGTAAAACTACACACACACACACACACACACACACACACACACACACACACACAAACAATGTGAAGCTCCTCCATCCATCCATCTCCAGCTCCAATACCACCAGCTAAAGTTCACCCTGTTCACCTCTGTGCCCATCTTCTCTGCGACACTGACCTTAGTGTCAGACAGACCCCATCACAAACACTTTACTGTGAATCTCCAAATGTAAGTACTCCTTTTAAAAGCACAGTGCCATTCCTAAAATCGCAATATCATACCATAATCTGCAAAATATCAATTAGTATTGCCTAGTAATCAGTATTCAAGTTTCTATTTCTAGTTATCTTTTTTTCGTAACTCGATTCAACTCAAATATGCAAGTAACCAAGTAAGTATTTGATTTTCTTTTCTCCGAGAAATATCTTTTAATGTGAATGTGTTCTTCGGTAGAGAGCGTAGTAAAATTTTCATTTGTTCAAATCAGTCCATCTCCTTCTTAATACAAGATGATTATTGTTTTTGTGGGGTTGGTGTTCACATTTTTATTGGGGAGCAACAGGGAAGGGGGCCTCTTCCATCAACAGGCGTATTCACACATCCCTCAGCCATTACAGACTTTGGCCCTGAAGGTCGTGGTGATGGCTAGACGTTGTTCATGCTCTCATTATCTCCCACAGACACTGGGTAGTTGTAGCATGTGGCCTGGTTGATCAAGGTGACACACTTGGTGTAGGAGCTGACTATGGGCATAATTATAGTCCCAGCCATCTTGGTCCTGGCAGCACCAAGATTGCCAAAATGACTAGCATTTATGGTAAAACTGTGCCGTTTTCCTGGTGTGGAGTCTCTCAGCTTAGAGATGTATCTTAAACTTATCTTGGGTCCAGTTCCAGAAGACCTATGTACCACCTACCTCCACCCCTGCTGCAGCCAAAAGCCACCTGATGCACTCCATTCTGCCCCTGGCATTGAAGTAGTGAAGCACGGGCTTCCCAGACATGGCAGCAACTGTGGTTTCACTAACTATGAATGAAAAAGAAAGAGATCAATCCCAGGGGAGACTGTGCTTTGAGATGTGTTTAGTAATGCAACACTAGAGAAGTATAGTCGGCCTTCTTCATGGATGGCTTGCAGGGACCCAGGGAGGTCTTATTGACTAATTTCTCCCCTGTCAGTGACCACCAACATGCATTTGCACCAAATCAGTCTTAGTGGGCATATGCCTTCACCTTGAGAACATAGCCTGAGCAGTGCAGACCCTACAGTGATGAAGGCCTGGGAACCTGTTGAGAATTGGAAAGCAAAGCTGGAAAGCAGAGCCATCACGGAAGGGGATGAGACAAAGTCCTCCCCAGTCCTTCACTCCTGGGCTGCTCAGTTCAGAAGCTTTTGATGCCTTCATGTCACCCGGCTGTAACAAGCCCCAGTTCCCCCTCCCCCACAGGAGAAGGGCTCATCTTCTGTTTCCCCTGCTAGATTGGATCCTATTCTATGGCTCAGAAGGAGAGTCGCTGGTGTATTAACTTTGTATCACAGGGAAGTAACTGCCTTTGGAGCACACCACATAACCGCAAGTTGCTCATTAGAAATTCATCTAATCACCACAAGTTTGATGGTAAGGAGCCTTCCCTGTTGCACACTTACAGCAGAGATAGATGTGCACATAGTTACGTGATGAGGAAACCCTGAGCTTACTTCTTGCACAGTGGCATGACTTGCTGGGTCCTTGCTGTAAAGTCAACATCATGGGTCATGGGTGGTGTCTTCAACTTGTGATATGATAGGACATTTCAGAGTTTGTCTTTTAAAAAGGACTCTATTTGTGTCTGTAAGTGTGTGTGTGTGCATAAATGCATATAGCTGCAGTGGCTGTGAAGGTTACAAGCAAGCATTAGATCCTCTAGTGCTGGTGCGCCTGCCTACTGCTGGGCCAGTGTCACCAGGCCTCAGCAGCAGATTTACCCCTGGAATGTCTGCCTCCCTGTCCTTGAGTTACAGCTGCTGCTCATGGGAACCTGACAGCTGACACAGCGCATTATAAAGCTCTTATCATTCTCAAGTGAGAATTCTCTGTGAAGTTGCCAAATGCAATTCAAGAGAAGAACACTATGTATCTTCAGTGTGCCTAGGAGGACAATCCAGGTCTACTCTGCACTGTCCTAAATCCATGCATTCAGAGTCCCTTGCAAATATGCTAAATCCCACCCTTCAGCTCAGTGACACTGGAGGAGGAGGGGGAAGGAGGGAGCACACAGAAAAGCAGAAGGAGAAAAAAGAGGAGGAGAAGAGGAAAGAGGGAAGGAACAGATGAAGGGAAGATTGCAGTCAAGTCAGAGGAAGGAGGGAGGAAAGGGAAGGAGGGATGGAGGAGGGGGGGAGACATGGGCAGGACAGAAAGAGAGAAGGAAAAGAGGAGGAGAAATAATTCATACGAACCAGAGTCAAATGCAGATAATAACAATGGTAATGACAGTGAATAAATCAACATATATCATATACATAAGAGGAAATTACACAATAAAGACAGTTATTATGTGCAATTAGCACATGCTAAATAAAGCACTGAAAACTGGTTCTGGGTGATGCAGACATTGGACAAGTTACACTGGTTATAAAGACAGAACTGACCTAGTGAGAGCCCAGGCTTCTTCTCTCCTCAGCTCCTCAACTCCAGACCAGCTGAGTGTGGAAGTCACTTTACTAAGGTGACCATTCTTATGCAGGGGGTGGGGACTAATAAGGAATAGCCACTCCCACAGACTCCCACAGAGTTCAAGCATCCCTAGTTTCATGATAGACTAGAAACGTGACAAATCAGGGAGGGACTGGCTCACCAGTCACCGCCCTTTCCTGAAGATCTAAAGTCCTTTAATGTGTTCATCGGTTAACACTTATGTGCCTATAAGTGGCTTCTCTTTCACGCTCCTATGAACAACCCTAATGAAACACAATGGCCCAGGAAGGCAGAAACAAAGGAGGGAAGACTGCACTAGAAGCATTAATGGGATCCCAAATGACTCCACAGAGCCCTCAGCAATCATCAGAAAATGTTCCGTTAAACTGCTGAATTTGGGGGACAGTTTGTTAAGAAGTCTTACATTACAGAATTAACCATTGTCTCACATTCAAGGCTAAGTTGAAGTCCAGGTTACAATGCCCCCTGCTCATGTTATCTAATGAAGCAAGCTAGTATTCTATAACACCATATCTGTCTTAACCTTTGTCCGGTTTTAATCGGGAGCTCAAGGGCAGAAAGGAATTTCACAATTCACACTTAACTTCACCTGGACGGCCATCAAAAGCCTGTCCCAGCATGCACTGGGTCTATATGCATCTGTGCATCCGTGCAGTTACTGCTGTGGAAAAGTGGCCTTGTCACCATTGCCAATGTCATTTCCAAGCTAGTGAGAATTACTGTTACGTTGTGCCAAGTTCAGACTCACAGATCTTATACACAAACAAGGACATCTGCCACTGATTTACTCACAGCCCCACGTGTCCACTTGTGATTTAGTTACAATTGCTGCTTCATGGGTCTTGGTTATTAATCATTATCTGATGATCCGGTTGTATTCAGAGATGCATGTCACTTGCCTGAGTCTGTATACCAGTGCCCAGGGCTGGCCTCCTTTTCTCTTGGTATACACTGCTAATCTCTCTTCAACTACAGACTTTCCCTCCTCAAGGGCCACTCCACTTTTCTAGAAACAGATAACAAAGTGGCCATGTTGCATTTCAGGGGCAAGCATGGGTGTAGCAGCACATGATCTCAAGTCCAAGCATCAGCGTCAGTGACAGGGGAACTGTGTTTGAACACGGCTTAGGAAAGGGTCTCTGTCACCGTCTGGGAGCTCGTGGCAGAGGAAGACACAGAGCCAGTGGGGAAGGCGAGTGTCCCAGGAGAGCAATGTGGAGACTTGCTAGACAGACCCGGGAGATGTCAAGTGCACAGCAAGGGCTGAATCAGGAGAGCTGCTGAGGGTCGCTGTTGCCTGAGAGGAAGGGAGCCCTGGTCTGCTGCCTGTCCCGTGCCTTTTCCCTGGGATCATGATGGGTGCCTGCTCTTCTAGCCTGCCTGCACTTTAGTCTTTCTCTGGAGCTCAGGCCCTGTGCCCACCATTTCTTCAGCTGGACCGACTCCCCTCCATCCACAGGCTGAGTTTCCTACCTCAGGTCACTGTCCAGACAGTGGGAAGCCCTGTGCCAGGGGCTCTCCAGGGCTTGGTTCCAAGTTCCCATGGCTGTCCAAGTGTGCAGCACAGAGAGAAGCCTGGATGACCATGTGGCCCATTTTCCTTTAGTGCTGGAGATGTGTCACTGTGTGCAGCCGTAGAAAAGACATTCTGGTGGCCCCTCATGTGCCCACCGCTCCAAACTAACAAGTGTAAAATCTTTGATGCTAAATCCTGAACTTTTTCTTCAATAGAAAAGGAATATATCCTACCAATATGTTCTTTAAAATAACTTGGGCTGGAGAAAAGTTTACAGAGCTGAGAGTGCAGCTTGGGGGTAAAGTTTGTTCTGGCATGCCCCCAAGAGGCTGGGCTTAATTCAACAAGGAAAAGAGAAGTTCAAAGGTATGGAGTCAGTTCATCTAGATGTGTGTGGCAGTTCATCTAGATACTAACCCTCTGCTGTCACCTTGCTCTAAATCAGTTTTTGCTTTCTCCATAAGTTGGGGTGTTGGGCAATACTAGCTTTTTTTTTTTTTTTTTTTTTTTTTTTGAAATGTTTGTGAGTCTACTTGTCATTTTCTGATCGTTTGAACTTAGGTTCTATATTTTTGCAAAATACAGCTTATTTAATGCTCTTCTGCTATGGAACAATCTTTGTTCCTGGTGTCTTCCTCTCCTTTTCTCGCTCATTCCTCTCTCTCTCGCCTAGATTTTGCCTCCTATTTAGTATTTCTGCATGCCAGCTCCACCTATCCATTTTCCCACCTAACTAATGGCTATTCAGCTCTTTATTAGACCAATCGGGTGTTTTAGACAGGCAAAGTAACACAGCTTCACAGAGCTAAACAAATGCAACATAAAAGAATGCAACAAATCTTTGCCTCATTAAACAAATGTTCCACAGCATAAACGAATGTAACACATCTTCAATTAATATTCCACAACACAATTCTATTTACAATAACCCTATTGTGTGTGTGCTTACTGTCCCATGCATTCTATTCTATGTGCAATGATTGTAGTATGTGTGTTTAACCCATCCACACATACAAGTCTATGTGCAATGATAAAACACGGTGCATGTCTAACTCACCTATGCACACAGTTCTATATGCAACAATGCTAGCATGTATATATAGTTCTTTGCACAGGGATTTTCAAATGTGTGTTTAACCCATTTACACATGATCCTAGTATTTGTGTTTTACCCATATGTACATATAGTTCTATATACAGTGATCGTAGTGTGTGTGATTATCCCACCTATACATACAGGTCTATGTGCAATGATACTAGGGTGTGTATTTAACCCACTATTCTGTGGTGGTTTGAATGAGAATGACCCCTGTACTCGAATATATTTGAATATTTGATCCCCAATGTGTAGAACTGCCTGGGAAGGATTAGAAGATGTGGCCTTGTTGGAGGAGGTATGTCACTGGGAACAGGCTTTCATGATTCAAAAGTCCACACCATTCCCAGTTAGTGCTTGGTGCTTGTTGGATCAAGATGTGAGCTTTCAGCTTACTGCTCCAGCGCCATGCCTCCCTGCCTAATGCCTTGCTCCCACCACCATCATCATCATAGTGATGGCCTCACCCACTGAACCGATAAGCCCTCAATAAACTCATTATTCTTAAGTTGCCTTGGTCATGACATCCTATCACAGCAATAGGAAAGTAACTTAGACACATACATATGGTTCTATATGAATTTCTGGATCTATGTGCCATATGTAATTTAAAATGGTAAGTTCATACTGCTATTTGCCTTTCAATACCACAGATTTCATTAGTTATTAATGAAATCCTATCTGATGGATAACAAAGCTAGCTTAATATATAAAAT